GCGGACTACCTCATTCTCATTTTCAGAGTTCTCCACCCAGAATGACTTCAGTGCCTAGACCAGAGATCGTAGAAGGTGAGTGTTGCGATAAAAGTCAGTATCTCTGGCCTTGGGTTCAGGCTTTTGAGCCATAGCCATAATCTTTGCTGGCTCCTGGTGGATTTAGAATCACGTATTCATTTGTTTACAGAAATGCTTTCTGAGTGTTTTGGTGACCCCGAGGCATGCATTTTCTTTTACTACCTTTTTGCCCAAATATTTAATTGTGGTGGATTTTTGACTTCTTTTTATAACAAATGCTAGAAGAGGAACCAGTGGTGCCTAAGACTCATGATCATCAATCGGAATCACGGCTCAACCCTGTGGAAGTGTTTACTGAATCGTCTACCTCCCTGGAGATGACTCAAGGCATTTCAAAGGAAAGAACTCACCTTGGCTGTACCCCTAAAAAAGGGGGAAGTTGTGATCTCAACCATCAGGAAGAACTTCAGTCCAAGTCCCTTCGTTTGTCCCCTCAAGAACAATCTGCCTGTCGTCAAGACAGGAGACAGTCCTGGAGACGAGCAAGTATGAAGGAAACCAACCGGCGGAAGTCACTGGCTCCCTTCCACCAGGGCATCACAGGTGGGGTGCTATGTACTAAGGCAGTGAGGTCCCAGCTCAGATAAGAGTCAGCGAGGTAAGACAGAAAGTGTAGAGAATAAGAATAACATTTAAAAAATAATAATAATAAGCATAGCAGACTAGACATGACTTAGCTTTTTAGCTGAGCCTGTCATTTCACCATTTTAAGCCTCCGTTTCCTCATCTGTAAAATGGAGACAGTACTACCTCCCTTATGGAGATATTCTACATTGGAAAGTACTGATGTCAAACACCCAGTTAAGTATTCCTTGCTATTTATTAGCTGCTGTGAGCAGAAATTCTGATTTCTGTGTTCAGCACTCATCTCTGCTTGGATGAAAGACACTGGAGTCCTTCCTGTTGTTTTCTACTTCTTAGCCTAAAGTGGAGCAGAAGGTGGATGAGTCGCTACCTGGTTTTAGTCTTTATGACTGACCAGGAAGATGCATATAAAAGTACCTAGAGTGAAAACCTAGTCTTTGGGGATGCTGTATTTGAACGTGATTTTGTAACTGCGTGAATTTGCAGTGGTAGCCATATCTCAGTAAGCATCCAAGCACAGGGACGTCCAGCACATTTCAGGAAGAACGTGCTAGCTGTGTATCTTGAGCAGATTACTTAACCTTGTTTGCCTTAAGATCCTTATCAGTAAACTGGGGAGAAATAGTACCTGTCCTTCATGATCGTATTAGGATCGATAGCGCAGAACTTGGCATATAGTCACCCCTCAAATGTTAAGCTATTGTGATTCCTCTAAGGATATTACCTCACTTCCAGTTGGTCTGATAGAAAGAAATCTGGGTAAAAACTGTCACTAAGCACATCAGAAAATTGCTGCCTCAGTGCCCGTACACTTCATTCCCCAGATATGCCAAGAAGACATTAGCAGATCCCGGAGATTAGTTCTGCCTTTATCTCTCCATTCCAGAGCACAAGACTTAAAATTCTGTATAATAGAAAATGACCAGGACCAGCAGATGGCATATGGGTAGGTTGCTGGACTCCCATGTAGTTGACCGCAGTTTGAGTTCTAGACCTGCTGGCTTAAAAATCGTGAGATGTGGGGGGAGAAAGGATTTCGGCATGGCCATCCCCTCTGGTGTGTGATTTCTTGCTTTCTACCTCTGTCTCTCCAGCAAGCACAGCACCCTATAACAAGAAAATAAATAAATAATGAAAATCACCATTGTTATAAGTTTGGTTATCTCCTGGTTATTCCTGCCACCTGCCAGATTTCCTTGGTTATAGACAAAAAGCATCCTGTTTTCCTTGACTAACAGCAGTGGAAATTGAGAGAGGAATCGAGAACTTTAAAACATAGCTGACTAAAGTTGGAGGGTAAAAAGACATGTAGCCCTCATAATTCTCAAAACAAATGTCCTCTGCTATGTAAGAACTTTTTAAATGGACGTAATTGACAAACCAGTATCTATATCTTGCAGATACGTATTGGGGGATTCAGTAGCAGAGTTATATAAAATGCCCAGCCAGTTCATTCTGATAACTCACTGTGTAACCTTGAGCAAATTACAGATTTCCCAGCCTTTGTGCTTCACTGTCATCAAAACAGTTAATAAGATACTGGCCTTAAAGTTTAATGGGATGTCCGGGACCAGTGGGTGGCATGTTGGTTAAGGTGTAGACACTCCCACATGGCTGACCATGGTTCGAATCTTGGACCTGGTGGTTGCTTTCTCACCTTCTCTCTCTCTCTCTCTCTGTTGCTGGTCAAATTAAAAATAAATGAATGAATAAATAAAGTTAAATAAATAATTATTTAAAAAAAAGTTTAATGGGGGGGGACCAGCAGTTGGCGTAATGGCCATGTCACTGAACTCCCATGTTCCTGCGGTTCGAGTCCTGGACCCGGTGGCTTATACTCACGCTGGACACGTGTGTGTGCATGCCTAAAATTCTGAGAGGAGAATGGAGGAGAAGGGATTGCAGTGTGGCCATCCCCCCAGAGGATGATTTCTCTCTTTCTGTCTCTCTGTCTCTCTCTGTCTTTCTAACGAGCGCACGTACCTTATAGCAAAAACCTCTCAAAAACAAAAAAAAGTTTAATGGGATAGCTATAGTATGTAATAAAAGGCCTTTTAAAATAGCATTCTACAAATACTACCTGTTAATGTTTCATTAGGTCATTGTAGACAAGCATGCTATTAATAAGGGAAAAACAGATTTGGGTTTAAATTTTGGTTCCACCTGTCTGTGGCTTCAAGTCATTTCCCCTCTGAGCTTCAGTTTCCTCATTAGTCAAATGAATCTAATAGAGTTTGTAGGAGGGCTCTCGAGACAATCTAAGCACCTCACAATGTCTATCATTAAAAATAGTCCAGTGTTCCCATCTCCTTTCTTTGAGTGGTGAATATGAATCATCAAAAACAAAAGATCAAATTTTGAGACCAGCAGATGACATAATGGTTATGTCGCTGGACTCCTGTGTAGTCAACTGCAGTTTGAGTCCCAGAACTGGCAGCATAAAACTCATTCTGGGCATGTGTGCTTGCTTGCCCAAGATCCCAAGAGGAGAACGGAGGAGAAGAGATTGTGGCATGGCCACCCCACTTGAGAGGTGATTTCTTGCTTTTTATTTCTCTGTCTCTGCCGAGTACATGCACCCTATAGCAAAAATCTCTCTCTAAAAAAGAAAGAAAAAAGATTTTTAAAAAAATTTTAAATAATTATTTAACTTTTTATTTATTTATGTTTTAATTTGACCAGAGAGAGAGAGAAGGTGAAAAGGCAAGCTGCCAGGTCTGGGACTTGAACCGCGGTCGGCCATGTGGGAGTCTTGTGCCCTTAACCACCATGCCACCTGCCGGCCCCAATAAAGATTTTTTTAATGTACTCTGTTTAACAAAACAAGATTTCAACGTAGTACACAGAAATCTTTATTTTAAAAAATGTTTTAGTGGGGGCTTGCAGGTGGCATGGTGGTTAAGGGCATTGGACTCCCACATTACTGACTGTGGTTTGAGTCCTGTACCCAGCCGCTTGCTTTCTAGCTTTCCCTTTCTTTCTATCTCTCACTCTGTACCTTTCTGGTCAAATTAAAATAAATGAATAAAAATAAAGTCAAATAAAACATTTTTTAAAATGTTTTAATGTATTTTACATTTTTTAAAGAATCATTTAATTTTATTTATTATTATTATTATTATTATTATTTTAAAATATACTATAGGGCACACAAGAGAAATAGGTAAAGAGAAAGCAAGCCACCAGGTTCAGTATTCAACCCATGGTTGGCCATGTGGGAATCCAGTGCCTTAACCACCTTGTTACCTGCTGGCCTCTAGTTTTTAAATTTTTTGTTTTTTAGGGTTTTTTTGGTTGTTTGTTTTTTTAAGAATTACTTTATTTAACTTTACCTATTTATTTATTTAATTTGACCAGAGAAAGACAGTGAGAGAGAGAGAGAGAAAGCAAGCCGCCAGGTTCGCCATGGCCAAACCACAGTCGGCCATGTGGGAGTTCAGTGCCCTTAACCACCATGTCACCTGCCAGCCCCGTTTTTTAGGTTTTGCTGTAAGTCATGTGTGCTCTCTTCGGAGAAACAGTGAGGGAGAAAGTAAAAAATCCCCCTCAGGGGGCAATGCCCACACCGCGATCTTGTCTCCATTCTCCTTGGATTTTGGGTATGCGTACACACACACCTATGTGATTTTCAAGCAACCAGGTCTGGGACTTCAGCCATGCAGTTGGCTATGTGAGAGTTCAGCACCTTAACCACCACGCCACCTGCTGGCTCTGAAATTTTTATTTTTTAAAGTTTGGTTACACAAATGACTGACTTCAGTCGTCAATGATTCTGGAAAAATTAGAATTCTCACTTTAATCGGAGGAGGTTGTTTCTTGCCTTAGGTTGAGTTGTATCAGAAGAGGAATTTTTCAGTTTTTTTTACTTCGCTGTTAAGTGTTCGGTTCCTTAAATGTGTGTGTTTTGCATTAGAGCTCAGCAGGTCCATCAGTGTCGACTTAGCAGAAAGCAAACGGCTTGGCTCTCTCCTGCTTTCCAGTTTCCAGGTGAGAATCTCATGACTGGGAAATGTTTCATTTTTGTTTTTAACTGTTACTGTGATAGCTTCAGGGAGAGGAATACTGCTGTGATGAACCAATTAAGATGAAAAGATGTTTCTCTCTGGATAGATTAATTTAAAAGTCAGATTTAATCCCAGCAGCTGGTTTCCCTCTGGACTGGGTTTATCACCATCTCATTGGTGCTGCTGCTATTGCTAATTGAGCAGCTGATAGGATTTCCCCAGTGTGGTGTCTTTTGGCCACTGGTGGCAAACGATGGTAATTTAGAGTAGCTAGAGGTCTAAATCTAAGTTATTATGGACATCTGGCTATATGCTAAATCGGTATATGACTCGTGTTGTACAGTTTCATTGTTTTTGTTTTGTTTTTAGATTTTTGTCTTAGGGCATGTGCACTTGCTAGAGGGAGTCAGTGAGAGACAGAGAAAGTGACGAATCACCCCCGGGGAATGGCCACGCTGCAATCCCTTCTCGTCCGTTGTCCTGTTGGGATTTTGGGCACACATACGCATGTGACGGGTGTGATTTTCAAGCCTATGGGTCCAGACTTGAACTGTGAATGCTTTAACTACCGTGCCACCTGCCGGCCCTAGTTTTTTTGTTTAAGGTGTATCGTGTATTATATGACTACTTGGTGTTTATGTCAGTTCAGATAAGCAAATAATTTGTGTTGATTAAATTTTTTTTTCTGAACCCCAAATCAAAATATATAGTCTGAGCAACAAAGGAATTTTGCTGATCTGTTTATTTGTTTATATGAAAAATCTTACATGTAAAAAGTAAATCATGTTTAATATTTATTAAGCATCATAAAGTTACATGAACTTAAGACTAGCCTGAAAAATTTAGGTTGTTGTACTAAAAATGTTTATTTTTTTATTTTTTTTTAGTTCTCTGTTCAAAAACTTGAACCTTTCCTAATAAGTGCTAAGGGTTTCAATGTCGAAAGTTTTAGAGCCAAAGGTAAGTTGCTAAGAATAGATGAGTGGCTTTGACTGTGGGCTGTATCATCCCTAAAGTTAGCAAAAGCCAGCCCATCCCTTGTCTTACTTGTTAAGGGAGCTGGAACTCACAGGGCCAACTGCAGTTTGAGTCCCAGCCCCAGCAGCTTGAGAAGTGTGCCGGGCATGTGCATATACGTGCATGGCCAAAATCTCAGCAGAATAGGGAATTGGAGGAGATGGGATTGCAGGGCGACTGCATCCCATTGGAAGGTGCTTTCTCTCTAGGTGTCTTTCTAGCAAGTGCACATGCCTTTTGACAAATTAAAAAAAGAAAAAAGATTAGCAAAAGCTTCACCACAGGATCCCCAGTTATAGGAGCTGCTGCCTTATAGACCAGCTCCTTCCATTTTTTGTTTGTTTGTTTGTTTTTTAAGGTTTTTGCCATAAGGGTGTGTGTGCGCACTTGTTCCTAGAGGGAGACAATGAGGGAAGGTGAGAACTCATCCCTTGGGAGGTGTGGCCATACTTCAGTCCCTCCTCCATTCTCCTCCTGGGATTTTGGGTATGCACACACACATCTGGCGTGATTTTCAAGCTACTAGGTCTGGGACTCAAACCACAGTTGACCATGTGGGAATCCAATGCCTTAACTACCACCTACCTGCTGGCCCTTCAAGCCCCTTTTTTTTATTTTTAAGGTTTATTTAATTTTCGGAACCAGCAGTTGGCATAATGGCTACGTCGCTGGACTCCCATGTAGTCAACTGTGGTTCGAGTCCCAGACCCTGTGGCTTAAAGATCCCGAGAGGAGAATGGAGGAGAAAGGATTGCGGTGTGGCCATCCTTCCTAGGGGGTGATTTCTCGCTTTCTGTCTCTCTTCGTCTTTCTGGTGAGTGCACACTCGCCCTATAGCAAAAGCATCTCCTAGAAAAATAAAAGATTCATTTAATTTTCTTTTTATTTTTTTAGATATTTTTACTATAGGGCATGTTCGCTTCCCAGAAAGACAGAGAAGGAGAGACAGAAAGCAAAAAATCACCCCCTGGGGAGGATGGCCATGCTACAATCTCTTTTCTTACATTCTCCTTTCAGGATTTTGGGCATGCATGCACATGTGCCTGATGTGAGTTTCAAGCTGCCCAGTCCAGGACTTGAAGCAGTTGGCTAGTGGAAGTCTAGCACCTCAACCACCACATCACTTCCTGGTCCCAGATTTGTTTAATATAATTTAATTATTATGTTTAAAATTTGAGCAGAGAGAGAGAGAAAGTAAGAAACCAAGCCACCAGGTCCAGGACTTGAACAGTAGTCAGCCATTTAAGAGTCTGGCACCTTAACCACCACATCACCTGCCAGGTCCTTCAACTCCTTCTTTTCAAAAATTGCATTAAAAAGAAGAATATATGCTTACAAAGATCAGAAGGTGTGAACATGTGAAACGTAACTGTCAGTTCTTCCTTGACCTCTGATCTCAGTTCTCCTTAGCCACCAGTTTCTTCTGTATCCTTGCAAATCTTTATTGCTTTTCTTAATATTTGTTAAAGCACAGGCTAGCTCTGCAGCCTGGTGGTTACAGTAACCAGATCCCACATAGCCAATCCCGTGGTTTGGGTCTTGGACCTGGTGATTTGAGAAACATGCCAGATGCGTGTGCACGTGTGCATGCCCAGTATCCCAACAGAATGGAGAAAGAGAGATAAGGGATTGCAGTATGATCATTCCCTATGGGGGACACTTTCTCCCTGTCATTTCTCTCTGGCAAGTGAATGTACCCTGTGGTTAAAATTAAAAACAACAAAATTGATATGAATGCATAATCTGAATACTGTTCTATAGCTTATCTCTCTCTCTCTTTTTTCCTTAGTTTTGCTATAAGGCTCATACGCTTTTCTGAGGGAATTAGAGCAGGAAAGTAAGAAATCATCCCCGTAGGAGGATGGCCATGCCTCATCCCTGCTCCTCTATTAACCTCCCTGGATTTTGGGCACGCATGCACACATGCCTGGTGTGTTTCAAGCCACCGGGTCCAGGACTTAAACCATGATTGGCCATGTGGGAGTCCAGCAACATAACCATTAAACCATTTGCTAGCCCTTTTTATTTAATTTTATTTATTATTTTTTAACTTAACTGAGAGGGAGATTGGGAAAGAGAGAGCAAGCTGCGAGGTCCAGGACTTGAACTGCATGCAGTTGGCCATGTGAGAGTCCAGTGCCTTAACTACTATGCCATCTGCCTGCTTTTGAAGCCTCCGGGTCTTCAACTTGAACCACTGAACCAGCCATGTGGAATCCAGTTTGGAAATAAAAGTTTGTGGGACCAGCAGATGGCATAATGGCATACATCTGCTGGCCCTTTTGGCCACAAGCCTTTTGGCATATATGCAAGTGAAACTAAGATAAATTCCTAAAATTGGAATTAACTAGATAAAATAAATTATCAGATTAACTTACATAGAGGTTGTATATGCAAGTACTATATCTATCTTTTCTTTTTTTTTTTGAGAGGTTTTTGCTATAGGGCATATGTGCTCTCCACAAAGAGAAAAAGAGAGACAGAAAGCAAGAAATCACCCCCCAGGAGGAATGGCCACGTCACAATCCCTTCTCCATTCTCCTCTCGGGATCTTGGGCGCACATGTGCATGCACCTGGCGTGAGTTTAAGCCTCCGAGTCCAGGACTTGAACCGCAGTTGACTACATGGGAGTCCAGCGGCATAGCCATTTCTCCAACTGCTGGTCCCAGCACTGTATCTGTTTTCTTACACTGTCATCAACATAGTTTTGTCAAAGTTATAGAGTTTCTTGGGGCAGTCAGGTGGTGTAGTGGTTAAGGCGCTGGATTCCCATATGGCAGCTTGCTTTTCCTTTCTCTCTTTTTCTCTGTGTCTGTCTGTCTCTGGTCAAATTTAAAAAAATAATACTGATGAATAAAATTAAATAAATCTTTTTTTAAAAGTTAAATCTTCTTACTTGATAGGTGTTTGGAGATATTTAGTAGCTTTAATCTGTGTGTGTGTGTGTGTTCAGGTTTTTTTAAAAAAATAATTATTTAATTTTATGTGTTATTATTATCTTTCAATTTGACCAGAGAGCGACAAAAAGAGAGAGAGAGAGTTTGAAAGCAAGCTGCCAGATCCGGGACTCAAACTGTGGTCAGCCATGTGTGAGAGTCCAGCACCCCAACCGCTATTCCATCCGGCCCCAATCCATGTTATTTTATTGTCTGTTTTTGTTTTTTTTGTTTGTTTGTTTGTTTTGTTTTTAAGAGAGATTTTTGCTACAATGTGCATGCATTCGCCCGAGAGACAAAGAGACAGCGAGAAATCACCCCCAGCGTGAGTGGTCACCTACGTGGCAGTCCAGCAACAAAACCATTACGCCACCTGCTGGTCCCAAAGAATTATCTTCTTTCAAAGGAAAAAAGAGGGACCAGCAGGTGGTGTAATGGCTAGGTCGCTGAACTCCCATGTAGGGGACTGCAATTCAAATTCTAGACCCAGTGGCTTAAAGCTGACGCCAGGCGCGTGTGTGTGCATGCCCAAGATCCCGAGAGGGGAATGGAGGAGAAGGAATTGCAGTGCAGCCATCTTCCTTGGGGAGGAAATTGAAGAAAAAAAGGAATTGTACCATCACCGTGATTAGAGAAAACATATCAAGGTTATCTTGATAGCTAATTGATATAACCTTTCCTTTCTGCATTCTTTGCCTGAAAGTAATAGTGACCACTTCCAAGTCTAGCAAAGATTTGTTTTCACCTTTGCTCATAATTTTTGTATCCACTCCAATATTTCTCATTGTATTTCTCAACTCCTGCCTGTTGCCAGACTTCTGTAATGGGTTCCCTCGTAGTGCCAGCAGTTCAGATCTCTTGAAAAAAAAAATAGAATGTCAATGCAGTTTTTTTTCTTTTTTTTTTTTTTTTTAGTTTATCTTATTCATGGTAGTATATGTGCACATATAGAGAGAGGGGGTGGGAAACACCTTTGACAGGGTCTCTTCTTACCCGATCCCTTTACCCTGCCCTCCAGCTTGTCAGGATATTGGGCATGTGTGTGCATGCCTAGCTTATGTCAGGTCCACTGAGGCAGGAATCCAAACCCACGATCCGGCTCCCCGCGCTGCAGTCCAGGACGCTACCAACTGTACTGCTGAGTCTAGGCCAGTGCAGTCAGACCTTTTAAACTGGTTTTTCACTAGTAAGTGTAAAAGCGCTTATTGCAAATATCATGAAGAGAAGTTAGCTGCCATCTTATCATTATCTACCAGAGGGAAAATAAGGGAATGTTTCTGTATGCTTAAGACCACTTTTTGGTGAGCGAGGGGGCCAGAATGTTAGTGAGGACCTTAGTGCTAAGACCACCTTAAGTGTGTTGTATCTTTGTGAGAAGCTCATGGTGAAATTTTACATTCTCTTTATTCTATAACATGTAATTTATTCTCTCTAGCATCTTCTCTTTCTGAAGAATTAAAACATTTTACAGACAGACTGGAAAGTGATGGCACACTACAAAAATGTTTTGAAGATTCAAAAGGGTAAGAGCAGTACCCCTTCTATCACAATTGTATTTGCTTTTATTTTAAAATTTTCATTTTTGTTAGAGAGTGCGTATACTCCCTGGAGAGAGACAGAGAGAGAGAGACAGAGACAGAGAGAGAGAAGGAAAGTAGGAAATGACCACCCGGGGGGATGGTCACACCACAATCACTTTTCCATTCTTTTCTTGGGATTTTGGGCATGCACACACATGTGCCTATTGTGATTTTCAAGCTGCTGGATCTGGGACTCTAATCACACAGTTGGCTATGTAAGATCTAGCCGCCTCAACCCCTGCTCCACTTACTGGTCCTCAGCATACTTTTTTTTTTTTTTTGAGAGGTTTTTGCTATGGGGCGCGTGTGCTCGCCAGACAGAGACAGAGAGACAGAAAGCGAGAAATCACCCCCCGGGGGGGGATGGCCACGCCGTAATCCCTTCTCCTCCATTCTCCTCTCAGGATCTTGGGCATGCATGCACATACGCCCGGCGTGAGTTTTTAAGCCACCGGGTACGGGACGCAAACCGCGGTCGACTACGTGGGAGTCCAGCGACATAGCCATTACGCTAACTGCTGGTCCCAGCATACTTGTTTTTGAGAGAGATTTTTGCTGTACTTGTGTACTTGATGGAGAGACAGAGAAAGACAGAAAGCGAGAAGTCACACTGTAGTCCTTTTTCTTCCGTTCACCTCTCGGAATTTTGGGGAGAAAGGATTGCGGCATGACCACATCCCACTGGGGGATGGTATACTTTCTCTGGCAAGTACGCATACTCTCTAGCAATTAAAAAGATTATGTAAGGCATCATATTAAAAACAAGTGTTTCTCAACATGTTAAACTCATAATCCTGTCTATCTTCCAGAAAAGCAATAGATTTGTCTCTGGAAGCATCAGTGGCTGAGATGAAGGAATACATAACAAAGTAAGTGAAAATGTACAAACCTTTTTCAGAAAATTAAACTGATTCTCCATTTGGGGAAAATGAGAGGTAACCGTGCGTTCAGAGACTAAGTACTGAAGCCCCAGTGGCGTGATGGGTTAGCGTGCAGTACTTACATGACAGAGACTAAGTACGAGCATGTGAGCAATAGATGCTAGAAGGCTGCACAGGAATACTTACGGGCTCTCCTGATGGCCGGTTTCATAGAACAGAGATAGAGAAAGGGTGTTAAGTTGGTTTTAAGAACTCAGGTTCAATTTCATTAAATTAATATCCTCTGAGCCAGTCTAGCTTTCCAATCCTTTAATGACCTTTTTATGCGCATTAATAACTAGGTTACATGTTGTCCTGAGTGATTCAGGGTGATGATGATTGAAATTAACTCGAATTTTTTCCTGATTGTATAGGTTTTCTTTAGAACGTCAGACTTGGGATCAGCTCTTGCTGCGCTACCAGAAGGAGGCTGAAGAGATATCCGGGTTAGATCTGTGCACTGGAAATCAGAAACTGTCTTTTCACCTTGCAGGAGATTGATTTTTGTTTATTTCAGTTCTGTTAGCACAGGTTGAATGACGAATCCTTTCTCACAGGCCAGTCCAGCTCATGGAGACGCTGTAAAGTGACTATGAGTGCTTTCTGACCGGGAGTGGGGAATGAGGGACAAGGAAAAGTTAGTGTTACTGTCATTTGTGCGAGAACAGAATTGCTTGTGTTCTGTTTTCCTGGTTGCCCTTTCACATCCAGGAGAACACAGGCACACCTCTGCCTTGTACCTGGTAACCAGTGGTCAGGGGACGTTAGTGAGCACATGGTTTTTGAGTTGCAGGTTTGACAGTGACCCCCCTGGCTAGGGCCTTCGTGGAGACACAGGCATAAAAGGGGGTAATGGAGGAGAGTACAAGGAAACGTGACTTTTGTATGTAGTGGAGAGACAACAGAGGTGGGTTTTTTTTTTTTTTTTTTGGAGAGATTTTCACTGTAGGGCGCGTGCGCTCGCCAGACAGACAGAGAGAGACATAGAGACAGAAAGCGAGAAATCACCCCCCAGGGGGGATGGTCACGCTGCAATCCCTTCTCCTCCATTCTCCTCTCGGGATCTTGGGCACGCACGCACACGCGCCCGGCGTGAGTTTTAAGCCACCGGGTCCGGGACATGAACCGCGGTCGACTACGTGGGAGTCCAGCGACATAGCCATTATGCTAACTGCTGGTTCCCGTTTTTTTTTTTTTTTTTTTAGGTTTTTTTTTTTTTTTTTTAGTTTTGCTATAGGGTACTTATGTTTGTCAGAGAGAGACCAAAAGAGAAGGAAAGTGAGAAATCACCCCCTAGTAGGGATGTATGGCCACACTATAATCCATTCTCTTCTCGGGATTCTGGGCACAGACACACATGTGCTCAGCATAATTTTCAAGCCACTGGATCTCAGACTCCCAACCTCATAGTCAGTCTTGTGGGGTCCAGGTGCCCCAACCTCTGTGCCATCTGCTGGTCTGAGTTCGTTTTTTTGTTTTTTTTTTTTTTATTCATAGTCATTTTGTTGTTGTTATAATAATATAACAACAATATAATAATGATAATAATTGTTATTATTATAATTTTGAAGTTAACCAGAGAGACAGAGAAAGAAGGAAAGTGAGAAAGCAAGCTGCTAGGTTTGGGACCCAAACTGTGGTCAGCCATGTGGGAGTCCAGCTGCTTTAACCACCACGCCACCTGCTGGTCCCTTTTTTTATTTTTTAAAGAATTATTTTATTTAACTATTTATTTTAATTTGACCAAAGAGGGACAGATTGAGAGAGAGAGAGAGAGAAAGTGAGAAAGCAAGCCTCCAGGTCTGGGACTTGAACTGTAGTTAGCCATGTGGGAGTCCAGCACCCATAACCACCACGCCACCTGCCGGCCCCCCTGTTTTTGTTTTTGTTTCATCAAAGGAAAACAAATATTTTAAGAAACATTAATCTGGATATGGGTCTTGAAGGCAGGGGAAAGTGGGGAAGTGCTAGATTTCTCGTATAGTTGAACATCATTAGCCAATGGTTTTAGGGTTTTTTTTTTCCCCAAACAGAATATTAGCTAGAAACCAAAATAGAAAATGTTAGCCACAACCCCTAATTGCAAAAGTGACCTCTCAGTAGAGAAGCGCTTTGAGGAACATGGTTTGAAAAGCTTCCCCAACCCAGCAAATGAGTGTTACTAGTTACTTTGTTTATCCTTGATGTATTCTGTTTATGGAAGAGAGAGAATGTATAAGATGGCAGTTTCTGAATACAAACTTCTGTAGCAAAGCTTATAAGTTAAAAGGAATGCTTCTGGGGGCCAGCAGATGGTGTAGTGGTTACATTGCTGGACTTCCACATGGCCAAACACAGTTTGGGACCTGGTGGCTCGAAACTCATGCCAGGTGCTTGAGCCTGCGTGCCCAAGATCCTAGGAGGAGAAACGAAGAAAAGGGATTGTGGCTGGTGTGGCCATCCCCCAAGGGGGGTGATTTCTCACTTTCCCTCACACCTCTGTCTCTCTCTGTCTGGTGAGTGCGTGCTCCCTAAGGTGAAAACCTAGAAAAAAAAGAAGAAGAAGAAAGAAGAAAAGAAAGGAATGCTTCTGGAGCCAGCCAGTTATGTACTTGTTAAGGCTGCTGGATTCCACATGGCTGACTGCAGTTTGAGTCCTGGACCTGGCAGCTTATGAAACATGCTGGGCACATGTGCATGTCTAACATCCCAAGAGGAAAATGGAGAAGGGATTGTGGTGTGGCTGTCCCCCCTAGTGGGTGCTTTCTCACTGTTTCTCTCTATCTCGCTCTCTCGTGCACATGCATGTGCTCTCTCTCTCTCTTTCTCTCTCTCTGGCTAGCTCATGCTTTCTATAGCAAAACTGAAGGGGGAAAAAAAGGAGTGCTTCTGGATTCAGAAGCACAAAACTACTTAGTTTTGTGACCGTGGGCGAGTCACTTAATGTTGCTAAGCCTGAGGTTTCTTGTTTACAAATGGAGATACCATTAGTACCTACCTGTTTGAGTTCCTGTGAGTGTTAAATGAGGTTACATGGGAAGTGCCCAGCAGTGTCTGGTGCCCACTAAGCACTCGGTACGTTGCAGTAGGTAGTAAAGGGCCACCATCAGTGTTCAGGAGCTCTGTGCTGCTCAGGTGTTTAGTAGATGATCAGTAGGTAATTAGGGTAACCAGCATTTGTTTTTGGTAAGATAGTCATAGACTTGAGTACACAATAGCATGTTTTGGCTTTACTCTATCGCATGTATAGTCCTTTGCTCTGTTTTATTTTGTTGTGCTATTTTAAGTTTGCTATAGAGCACATGCGCCCACTGGGAAGAGAGAGACAGAAAGCCAGGGAAAGTGAGAGAGCATCCATCCAGGTGGGATGGTCACTCTGCAACCCCTTTTCATTCACCTCTCAGGATTTTGAGCATGCTCACACATGTTCTACCACATTTTTCAAACCACTGGGTCCAGGACTTGAACTTCACAATTGGCCACGTGGGGTCCAGCAACCTCAATCACCATGCCGCTGGCCGGCCCCCATGTATAGTCCTTTGTAGATGGACCTTATTGTTAGGTGCATTCACTTGTCCTAAAGCTCCCAGCTTCAGGAATCCAGCAGCATACAAACATGACACTGGGTGAGTGTTTCAGAACCTCTTGTTAAAAAGAGAGCTTAGGGGCCAGCAGGTGGCATGGTGATTAAGGCACTGGATTCCCATTTGACTAACTGGTTCTAGTCCCAGACCTGGCAGCTTGAAAATTGTGCCAGATGTGTGTTCATGAATGCACAAAATCCCAGAAAGAATGGAGGAAGAGGGATTGCAGTGTCGCTATCCTCTCCAAGGGTGATTTCTCACTTTCTTTTTCTCTTTGGTGAGTGTATAAGCCCTATAGCAAAAAACCTTTAAAAAAAAAAAGGTTGTACCTAGAGTAGAATAGAATATTGATTCACCTAGGCAGCTTTTTCCAATGTGATCTTTGATATCTTTCTTAAAAAATATTACAAAATCCCTTGAAGGTTTATGTCTTGTTTGTATTTAGAGGATCAACAGAAACCAAAGTTACTGAAGTCAAAGTGGAACCTACTACATATCTTGGATCTTCTCAGAGTGAAGTTCTTGATACAGTGCCTGACTACCAGAAAATGTTACAGAACCAGAGCAGAGTCTTTGATTGTATGGAGTTGGTGGTAAGTCAGCTCATGTGTATTTGGTTGAGTTACCCAACTTTGCTACGTTGTCATCTTTGGAAATGAAAAGACAGAGAATATTCGTAGTAGATATGCTCAGCTCCTACTTGGGAAAACATGGAGAGAGAATAAAAAATAATTATAAACAGATATGTGGTGGGAAGTACTAAAACAGCAGGATGTGGGAAGTATATACAGAGAAAGCAACAGGGTACTGTTTTATATAAAGAAGTTACTGGGTTCAATTTTTTTATTGTTTTTGTTTGTTTGTTTATTTTTTGCTATTGGTAGGGCATGTGTGCTGTCTGCAGAGAGAGAGAAAGCACACCCTAGGGGAGATGACCACACATAGTCCCTTCTCCTGTTGGGATTTTGGGCACGCACGCATGCATGCATGCACACACACACATGCCAGGCTTGTTTTCCATGCCTCTGGATCCGGGACTCTTAACAGTGCAGTGGGCCATGTGATATCCAGCCGCCTTAACTGCCATGCCAGCTGGTGGACTGGATTCTATTTTAGTTTGTTTGGTTTTGTTTATTTAAGTTCAAGATAGCATGTGTATACTCAAAGTAGAGAAAGAGTAGCACCACCCTTGACAGGGTCTTGTTATATGGAGAACTACCCCCTTTCCTTAGTCCTCTAGCTCCTCAGGATCTTTGACGTGTGCACATGTGACTGGTGTGTTTTCAGGTCAACCTGAGGAGCTGATCCCACAGTTGGCCATGTAGCTTTTGGCACTATAGTTCATTTTGCTACTAATCCTGTCACCTAACTGGGCCAAGCAGAATTATTAAAGACCCTTTTAAGGGCCCTGTTTTGTTTTCATTGTCATAGAGCATGTGCCACTTCCAGGGGAGTCTCCCTGAGAGGAGGGAGACATGAAGAAGGGACTGTGGTGTGGGGGGTGTAGAATTCCCCAGTAATGTGGTCACACTGTAGTCCTGTTTCTTCCATTTCTCCATCCCATCAGGAATTTGGACATGCGCTCACATGTGCCCAGCATGTTTTTCAAGCTGCTGGGGCTGGAGTTGAGACCATAGTTGGCTCTATGGGATCCAGCTTTCCATGCATGGCCCAGAGCCACTGTGCTACAGGGCCAGGCCCAAGGTGCTATTTTAACAGAGACTTAAAGGAAATGAGCCATGAAGACATTTGGGGGAATACTATTGTTTAAATCTGGGTATCAACAGGCAGTAGATGGCATTTGAAATAGGGTAATTCAAAGAGTTTCTTTTTTTCTCTTTTTTTTTTTTTAGAGATTTTTGCTACAGGGCATGTGCATTCACCAGAGACAAAAAGTGAGAAATCACCCCCCGGGGTGATGCCACAATCTCTTCTTCTCCATTCTCCTCTCAGGATTTTAAACACACATGTACACGCACCTGGCGTGAGTTTTAAGCTGCTGGGTCTGGTACTCAAATCACGGTAGAGGACATGTGAGTCTAGCAACGTAATCATTACACCATCTGCTTATCCCCAAAGAGTTCATTTTCAAAGATACTGCGTATAAAGAGATGAGTAGTGGGAGAAGGGCACACGGGTTAGTGAAGTGGCCTGGGGCTTAGAGACAACTGAGCTCTTACTTCCCACTAAGCTCACAGGGAGGAGAGGTGCAGTTACTCTGGCTCCTTGCCGGGACACTGTCACATAGTTGGCTGCATTGAGAGCCATGTCGCTCAGTGAAGGGACACAGCTAACTCCAGATAACTCTTCCAGGAGCAAGCCTGGGTAGTAAATACCCAGGTCTCACTCAGCTCCCTCCCACTTGGACTCAGCTCCCTCTCACTTGGCCACACCCAAGCAGACACCAGAGGACATGGCATCCTACTGTTGGAGGTCAAATGAGGTCCAAAAGGTCAGCTTCCTGGGGGGTGCAGAGCAGCCTGGAGAAGAATGGAGTGTGACTCTGGAGGATCAGAGAATGCCTAGCATAAGCCTTTCCGTTGAAAAGAACAGCAAGGCCAAAGCTCCAAGTAGGAGCTTGCCTGGTGGGCTTGAACATCAGAGAAGCCATGGTCCCTTGCAGCTCAAAACTGTCTTTTGTCTGCAGATGGATGAACTACAAGGATCAGTGAAGCAGCTGCAAGCCTTCATGGATGAGAGTACCCAGTGCTTCCAGAAGGTGTCAGTACAGCTCGGTAAGCTTTTCTGTTGAGTGGACCCGAGCTGCGCTGTTTTATATCTGACAGTCTTTGGGATACAAACTGCCCTTCAAAGCATATGGTCCCAGAGCATAAGATTTATATCAGGTGACTTGTTTTTCTCGCCACAGTAAGTAATATGTTGTGGGTACTCAGAGTTGCTGGGAAATTCCTAGATATAAATTCCAAAGAAGTAAAATAGAATAAATCTCCATGAACTGTGTTGTTGGTTTGGAAAATCTAAGACAAGAAATACCCACCTATTGCCTTTTCCATTTTAATTTTTCAAGAATCCACTGACTGTCATTACTCCTGCATTGCTTTTCCCAGCCTCCTCCAACCCTAAATTATTTGCTGTATATACCTTCACTTCTTCATTTGTTTCGTATTTGTCAGGTTGTGTTGTAGTTGTAGTGCTGTCTGGCTTTCCAACCAGACTGCCATCTCCTTGAAGAGATACTCTTATTTATCATTGTCATACCCTTCAGTGTCTGGCAGTGTCCACACATTAACTTTTCAATAAGTGTTATGTGAATTCAATTGATATTTATTTGTTTGGCTGCTTTCCTCTGCAGAGAAGAGAAGCATGCAACAGTTAGACCCCTCGCCAGCTCGAAAACTGCTCAAGCTTCACCTACAGAAGCCATCTACCACACATTGCCCTGGATCCTGTCAGTGACCTTACACAGCTTCTCTGCGCTCAGGAGGAGAGGACTAGGAAGAGTACCCAGCACATGGTGACTGCATGGCAGTCTGAGCTGGCGATATGTCACAGTACATTTGAGGATGACTCTCTGTAGGGCACTTCGGCTTTTTTCTGAAAGTGTTGACGTTTTTGCATCCTAGAGAACATTATATAGACATTTTTTTTCTGGAAATGTGCAAAATGCTTGAAACTTTTTTGAAATGACCTACAAAACCAGTGACCCATTCTTCTAAATATCCTTCAGGGTGAAAAATCTTCATCCTGTGGAGCCCAGCAGGTAGCATAATGGTTAAAGGCGCTGGATTCCCTCATGGTTGACTGAGGTTTGAGTCCCGGACCTGGCGGCTTCCTTTCTCACTTTTTCTTTCTCTCGCTCTGTCTCTCTCTTTGGTCAAATTTAAAAGTAATAATAACGGGTGGAATTAAATAAATTAAAAAAATGTTTTTTAAAAAAGAAATGTTCAGCCAAAAATGGTGTTTAGGTTTTGAAGCAGCTGAGTCATTTGGACCAATGAAGTCTGAGGAAATATTTTAGAAGCCCAGTTGGGCTCTGTTTGTAAAGGAACGAGACTGATTAGTATGTCTCTGATGGTGATTTTAGGCAGAGGAATTTTTAGCATTGTTTGCATCACCAGGAAATAAGATGTCCAATTTGAAGGGAATGTTACTCATTCTTTATGTTCTGTGTGTGCTGTGGCTTTTATTACTGAGTTGACTCCTAAGTCCTGAATTCATGGCAAGAAGGAGCTAAGTATTCCTTTTCATTGTTCTTTGTGTTTGTTAATAATCTACATTATAAAACTGCACACAATGAAAAGCTTTCTGTTGTCTTTGTGAATGTTTTGAGTCTGTACAAAAAGTTAAAAAGGCAGGCAGACTTAATAGAAAACAGGGTTCTTTGTCGAGTGCTGATGTGAATAGTAGTGGAGATGCGCTTTAGCATTGATTACAAATGATACACCAACTAATTTGTTGTCAGGGTTTCTTCTTCTCCGATCCCACTAATGGGATAAAACTCATTTCATTTAAACACCTAGTCATAATCTTAAGTCTTAAACCTTGGCCCATGCACTGGCTATTTAGAGGTGATCTCTCCCTACTTTGACCTTTGCTCACTCTTTTTTTCCTTTTCCTTTTTTTTTTTTTTTTAATTTGTCACAGGGTGTGTGCACTTACCAAAGAGACAGGAAGAGGGATGGGGGAAAGCAGTTCCCATGGGGAATGGTCACACCACAGTCCTTTCTTCATATCTCTCTCCTCTCAGGATTTTGGGTATGCATACACAAGCACCTGGCGTGTTTCTCAAGCACCTAGGCCTGAGACTTGAATTGCGGAGTCGGCCCTGTGGAATCCTGCTGCCTTAACCGCCAGGCCACAGGCGAGCCCACTCTTTATTCATTATTTATTTATTCATGTGTTGACAGAGCCCCTCTATGTGCTAAGCACAATTCTAGGGACTAGGGAGAGAATAAGCAATGAAAAGACCTCTGGACTTGCCCTCACGATGCTCACAGTCTATTGGGAACACAAGGAACAGGAAGAGAAAGCTCCGAGAAGAGATGTTTTAGCCGACTCGGGAATGACAAAGAAGTTAAACGAGGCCAGTAAAATCTTTCAGGCAAAAGGAGCAGCATTTTCAAAGCCTTGAGAAAAACGGAGCATTCTGGGATACAAATAAGAGACCACTAAAGCAGGAGTGCTGAGCACCAGTGGAAGAGTGGCCTGGCACATAATAACTGGGAGTCATTAGAAGACTGTAAGAGAGGGAGGCAGGATCAGAACTTCATTTTCAAAAATCACTGTTTGCTGTTTGAGAAATAGGAGCAAAGCAGATATGAGAGCCAGTTAGGCTACTGCAGTGGTCTCAGTGAGAAATGGCAGCATGTGCTAGGTGTGACCGTGGATGAACGGGTGGGGCAGCCTGTGTTGTTCGTGCTGTCTGGGACACATAACCCGTATGGTAAACCTAATTTACTAACTGGGCTGAGAAAACCTTATTTAACCTTTTTTTTTTTTTTTTAAGAATTTTTTGCCTTAGAGTATGTATTCTTCTCCAGAGAGAGAGACAGACACAGAGAGAGGGAAAGTGAGAAATCAGCCCCCAGGGTGGATGGCTATGCAGCAATCCTTTGTCCATTTTCCCAGGATCTTGAGCATGCATGTACATATACCCAGTGTGATTTTCAGGCCCATGTCTAGGATTCGAACCATATGGGAATATGGGAATCCATCAAGGTAACCGCTATACCATCTGCTGGTCCCCTTATTTAACCTTTTATCTGTAAGGTTGGGCGAATGATAGAACCTATTTCAGAAGGATGCAATAAGATTAGACTAAGTAGGCTTAGAACAGTGGTATTATGATGCAGGGAGTGAACACTTGAACAACTTGGAGGATGGCAGAATAGTTCAGGAGATGGGAAAACTGGTAGTTCAATGTGGGATATCAGATGGAGCCATCAACTAGAATGTCATATATACAGAAGACAGTAGAGAACTGGGTAGAAAAATCCAGGCTAGAGATCAAATTTAAGCATTTAACTGCTGTCTAGTTATTGAAGACTTGAAAATGAATGATACTGTCCAGGGTAGAGCAAGAAGGGGAACTCTGAACAGTGTCAAGGAATGTTGGTGTTTAGTGATCAGAGGGGTGGGGGACCAGCAGCAGATGGCATAATAGTTCTGTCGCTGGACTCCCATGTCAACTGCAATTTGAGTCCCAGACCTTGCTGCTTCATACACACGCCAGGCATGTGTGCGTATGTGCCCAAAATCCCAAGAGGAGACTGGAGGAGAAGGGATTGCGGCATGGCCATCTCCCATGGGGGCTGATTTCTCTATGACAAGCACACGTACCCTAAATTAATTTTAAAAAACGAATCAGGAGTGATACTAATTACCTAATCTTTTCGAAGCACAGCAGTATAATAGAAAGTAAGAGTTTGTTCCTCATCTATAGACTTCTAGAAAGTTGACTGTATCTCTACCCATTTCATTTATTATAAGGGTTTATTTTTTTTTAATAAAGATTTGCTAAAATTCGAGACTAAAAGTATGTTTTGGGCCAGCAGGTGGCATGGTGGTTAAGGGCGCTGGACTCCTACATGGCCAACCATGATTCAAGACCCGGACCTGGTGGCTTGTTTTCTCACTTTCTGTCTCTCACTCTTGTTCTGTCCCTCTCTGGTTAAATTAATATGAAATAAATGAGTAAACAAAGTTAAATAATATACTACTTCTTTAAAAAAGTGTTTTGCATCTTCAACAGACAAAATAGAACATAGAAAAATAATACTGACCTGTAAGCATTTTACATGCAATGCTGTTGTTTAGTTCTTACCACAACTTTATAACCTTTCTCTCTCTCTATTTTTAAGTTTGCTGTGGAGTGTGAACACTCACCAGAGGGAGACAGAGAGGAAGAGTGAGAAATCACTGTCCTGGGAGGGTGACCACACCACAATCCCTTCTCTATTTTTCTGTAGGATTGTGGGTATGCCCATATGCACCTGGTGAGGTTTTTTTAAGGAATTAGGGTATTGAACTTTTTTTTTTTTAGAGGTTTTTGCTATAGGGCGTGTGCGCTCGCCAGACAGACACAGAGAGACATAGAGACAGAACCCCAGAAATGACCCCCCGGGGGGATGGCCATGCCGCAATCCCTTCTCCTCCATTCTCCTCTGGGGATCTTGGGCACGCACGCACACGTGCCTGGCGTGAGTTCTAAGCCACTGGGTCTGGGACGTGAACCGCGGTCAACTACGGGGGAGTCCAGCCATTACATAGCCATTACGCTAACTGCTGATCCCTATTTTATTGCACCTTATTTATTTATTTAAATTTGACCAGAGAGGGACAGAGAGAGCAAGTGAGAGGAAGAGAAAAAGTGAGAAAGCAACCCACCAGGTCCAGGACTCACACTGTGGTTGGCCATATGGGACTCCAGCACTCTTAGCCACTACTCCATCTGTCGGACTGCCTGGCGTGTTTTTTAAACCAGTGGGCCCAGGACTCAAACTGCACAGTTAGCCCTGTGGGATCTAGCTGCCTTAGCGACTGTGCCACAGGCTGACTTTTTTTTTTTTTTTTTAATGTCATAAAGGAACTCAGGCATGGCGAGGCTTAATAATCTAACCAAAGAAATATAGATAGTAAGTAGTGGAGAGTAAACTATTAATAGAACCAATGTGGCATTCGGTAAATGTTAATGAATAAACATAAATAATAAAAAGGATTGTGTTCACCTGGTACTAGTTTTCCTTCTCCCCAGGTTTGGTTCAGGAATTATTGGGAACCAGCAGTTAGCGTAATGGCTATGTAATGGCTGGACTCCCACGTAGTTGACCGCGGTTCACGTCCCAGACCCAGTGGCTTAGAACTCACGCCAGGCATGTGTGTGCTCATGATCCCAAGAGGAGAATGGAGGAGAAGGGATTGCAGCGTGACCATCCCCCCTGGGGGGTGATTTCTCACTTTCTGTCTCTATATCTCTGTCTGTCTGGCAAGCACACGTGCCCTATAGCGAAAACCTCTCAAAAAAAAAAAAAAAAGGAATTATGCTTGATGAACAGCAGTATTATTGCTGCCCTCTGAGATATTTGGTGATATTTATTTGTTCCATTTGCCCTAATTTAGTTAGTATCTTACATTTAGGTTTTTTTTTTTTTTAAGAGATTTTTGCTATAGGGCATGTGCACTCGCCAGAGAGACAGCAAAAAATCACCTTCCAGGGGGAATGACCATGACACAATCCCTTCTCCATTCTCCTCTTGGGATTTTGGGCACACACGCACATGTGCCCAGTGTGTTTTAAGCCACTGGGTCCAGGATTTGAACTGCAGTCTACTACGTGGGAGTCCAATAATACAACCATTACGCCATCTACTGGTCTCCTGCATGCCTGCTCAAAATTCTGAGAGGAGACTGGATTGGGTGTGGCCGTGCCCCCTCTGGAGTGATTTTTCTCTGTCTCTGGTAAGTGCCAAATCTAAAGGAAAACTTCTCTCGCATTGCTCTCAAAACAGTAGATGGTGTGGCTTGCAGGCTGGCCCCCTCTGTGCAGTGGTAATGCATTTATAGTAATAAAATGATGTAAAAAATAGAGAAACTGTATCGCACATGCCACCAGTGGTCTGAGGCGGTCCCAACCCACTCAACCTGAGACATGCCTGGCACTCAGCCAACTGGTTAGGATGAAGGGGTCACTGCATGACCAGGCCCTGTGGAGGATGCTCATCTCTGCTTATCTCTCGTGTGCACCCACTTGCTCATACTTTACCATGAATTCTAGAAAAGAAAATGTTTTTCTTTTTTTGGGTTCTATAGGGCATTTGCATTCCCTACAGACAGAGAATGTAAATAAGACAGGGAAAGTGAAACATCACCCCCTTCCCACTACCAAGAGGAGATGGTCATGCTTCGGTCCCTACTCCCATCTCATGGGATTTGGGGCATGCAGGCTCATGTGCCCAGTGTGATTTTCAAGCCTTCAGGTTCAGGACTCAACTGAGCTGTCAGCTATGTGGAATCCAACACCAAACCCTGCAGGTCACCAGCTGGCTCAATTTTTTTATTTTTATTTGCTATAGGGTGTGTGAGCTCAACAGACAGACAGACATACAGAGACAGAGAGAAATCACCCCTCAGTGGGGGGGATGGCCACACTACAATCACTTCTCTTCCATTCCCCTCTCGGGATCTTGGGCACGCACGCACACGCGCCCGGCGTGAGTTTTAAGCCACTGGGTCTGGATTCGAACTGCGGTTGACTACGTGGGAGTCCAGCGACATAGCCATTATGCTAACTGCTGGTCCCCCAATTTTTTTTTTAAGAGAGATTTTTGCTATAGGGTGCATGTGATCCTTGGAGAGACAGAAAGCGATAAATCACTCCCGCCACACACACACACACACACACACACACACACACAAACTCAATCTCTTCTCCACTCTCCTCTTGGGATCTTGGGTATGCATTGTACACGTACCCAGTGAGTTTTAAGCCACTGGGTCTGGGACTCAAACTGCAGTTGACTACATGGGCGTCCAGCAACACAACCATTATATCATCTGCTGGTTCCCAATTTTCTTTTTTTTTTTTAAGAATGATTTAATTTTATACACTGTC